TATTCTGTGATTTACTGGCAACAGGATTTAATTAATGAAAAATTTGATAGGCAAATTGTTTTAGTTGGCTTTTGTATCCCTGTGACCCCTAAAACTGACAAAAACAATGTAGAAGAGGGAAAGTTTATTTGGGGTTCATAGTTTCAGAGGTCTCAGTTCATAGATGGTCTAATCCATTCCTCTGGGTTCCAGGTGAGGCAGAACATCATGGCGGAAGAGTATGGAGGAGGAAAGCAGCTGGGAAATGGCACCAGGAAGGTGGGGTTGACGAGGCACYCTGCTCAACAGGGACAAAATATAAACCTCAAAGGCACACCCCCAGTGACTTACATTCTCCAGCTACACTCTGTAGTTACTGCCCAGTTAATCCATATCAGTGGATTAATCCCCTGATTAGGCTAAGGCTCTCATAACTCAATCATTTCACCTCTGAAAATTCTTGCATTGTCTGACACATGAGCTTTGGGGATACACCTCATATCCAAACTGAAACACACATAATTATTACTCAATAAATGACTGTTGGAGTTAACAACAGCAAAGTATTCATATACAACCAAATACAGACCCGTGATATGGAAAGTCCATAGCATTTTTAATTAGAGATTGACATAAATGTAAAATACAAGAAATCTATTTCATGGAATCAACTTTGTTGCAGACATGATGGTAGAATAACTGATTTGCGAAGAAAATTTGGTATAAACAGGCTTATTAATTAGAAAGGTCTAATCAATACATGATAGCTAACTTTAATGATATAATTACCTCATATTGATCTATGATTTATTAGATGAATTTTAAGTCTATAATAGATTGTGTAAAACCCAAGTTCTCAATCTCCTCTGATAATATATTTTTAATAAAATTCTTAAAACTCAAAAGTTTTCCAATTTTTTTCCATTTTTAAGTGGAAAATATCTCCATTGTCTTGCTGACTGACATTGATTTCCCTAGGTGCAGAATCTGTGAAAGGCCTCATCTCTGCAGTCACAGAAATCTGATTTTAATAGTGCATCTCTAGGTGAACACATTATTAAGGATTGGTTCATGGTAACTAAAGTCACCAGAACCTTATTCCTTTCACCAAGTTCTTGGGAGGTTGACTTCTTCATGAGATGGTTGCTCAGAGAGTCTGTAATAGAGCCAGGAGAGGCAATCTTGAATGGTATTTTTGAACATCACAATTTACTTCTCTCCTTTGGAAGGTGCTGGAAAAATACAGCTGGAAATTCTTGTTCTTTGGGTGTCCCCTTTCTAGGATATAAATAGATCATACTCCCATCTATATTACTTTTTAAAAGACTGTTATCATCTTAACTATTAGATCTGGATGCTGCTTCCAAATCTCCACAGCAACATGCATTGTTCTTCTCTAAGCTCCAACTGCTCCTTATTTATGTATCTGTACCCCCCAGGRTGAAATAAGTACTAATTATGCTGCAGCATAGCTGTTATCTCTGCTTGCCTAGAACAAAAGCTCCTTGAGGGCAGGGAACATTTTAACTTGTACCCATACCCAGCTACTGCCTGTTTTAAGATAGGTACTCAAATAGATTTTGCTAAATGTCATGTATGTAGTCACATTACTTGCACTGAGAGAAGGTAAGTTTTTACAAGTTTTAATGAGAACTTTCACTCATTGTGTACTTTTTAAACTGGATAAAATATGTTTCCTAAGGTTAAATATTTTTGACTGCTTCCCAAGCTGGACTTTGCTTGATCCTTGGTCATCTTCCCTGGAGCCATGGGCTAAAATATCACAAATTATACTTGGTTGTTTTGGCTCCTTAGCACCTGTCTCCCATCTTACTATGTAGCTATGTTCTTAAGTTAAAGATACACCTGCAAATGACAGAGGCATGTCCATGAGCAGGCAAAATATGCCACCAAATGGGTCTCTGTCCTTCAATAAAATTGACTCTTTCTTCTGCTTTTTCATCTCTTTTTCAGCCCTATCCTGAAAATCTACTTGATTTCATACAAATTAATGAAAACTGAAATGTTTGAATAGGAGGTTAATAACTAGCTACACTGAGTGAATGTAATAGAAGTATTAACCACTTCTGAAAATGACAGGTAGTTACTGGCAAACAGAAAAGWCTGTCTTTGAATTGTAATTAGGAAGGGGAAGGAGTCAGTTTTAATAAAATTTGGGGGTGTTAAAAATCTCTAGTAAAGAATTCAGCTGTCATTCTTATCATGGAAATTAATTCTACAGTCAAAGCTAGCTGAGCCCTCAGTACCAGGTAAGAAGTGCCACTAAAGTAATTTTATTTTTGTTTAAAAAGTTATATTAGTATTTAAGTTATGTCAAATATTATAGATATATAAAAGGTGCATTTACAATTAAATGTAATGTTAATATAATTTATTATCAGCATAATATGTAAAACAGAAAAATTTTAAAAATCAAAAGGGCAGATTAGTTTCTGTGCTTCTCCTACATAATTAAATGAATCACACTAAAACTACAAGGAAGTACTTTCTGGTCTCACTGGTTCCTRTTCCTATTTCTAAGTTTAAAGATTTATATATTTTCTTTGTTGTTGTTTTGTTTTTTTGGGCTGGGACTTCCATATGTTGCCCAGGCTGATACTGAACTCCTAGGCTCAAGGGATCTTTTACCTTAGCCTCCTGAGTAGGTGGGACTGCAGATGTTTACAATCATTCCCAGCTTAGTCTTCTTTTTTCTTTAATAAAAATTGGGTACCTATTCATCAGTTGAGTTTGGTTTTAAGCCATAAATCATTGAAACACAATATTTATTGAACATTTTTTTAAAGCCAAGAAAGGAATAAGTATTGCACAAGTTACCCAACTATCTGAAATCATACTGTATGTTACACACATTTACAAAAACTAGTTCATTTACTCACCAATTTAAAATCTGACCAGAGGATTATAATGATTTGATGTGAAATTCTGAGACAGGAGGATCACAAGTTCAAAGCCAGCCTCAGCAACAGGGAGGCACTAAGCAACTCAGTGAGACCCTGTCTCTTAAGTCTCTTAAGTAAAATACAAAATAGGGCTGGGGATGTGGCTCAGTGGTTGAGTGCTCCTGAGTTCAATCACCAGTACTCAAAATAAATAAATAAATACATACATAGGGCAGATCAGTTAGTATTTAAGTTATGTCAAATATTATATATATGAAAGAAAACCATAGGTACATATTCATCTTTTCTAAGAAAGGTGTTAACATGTAATGATAATATTTTGTATGTATTAAAGAGCTAGATTAGGGAATAGCTATTTCAGTGAAGAATAAGGGTAGAAAATGAATATGAAATAATCTGAGGGTTCCATTTGATTATTTCTTTTTAAATATTTTTTCTTGCTAAAGACAGTTTAGAAACACTAGACATTTTCATAGCCTTGTCCTCTAGATCTAATTAGATTTCAGTCAGGAGCATCCAAATTTAAAGATCTGCCTCTGCCAAGCTGGGTCCCCCCCATCCCCACTCCAATCTTCAACTTAAAACCTGGAAAAGAGGTTCAAAATAATGGTTTCCAGAAGCAATCACTGCACTGGCTCCTTTGTTTTGGGGGAAAAGCAAGGGGTATGAGGTTTCAGTCATTTTTTGTCCCAAGAAAACAGATCAAAAGGAATGTACAGAGGGTTCAAATCTAGACAGCCCAGCAAATCTAGTCCTGTCCCAAGTGACCGGGGCTGTTGGCAATACTTGCTGCCTAGTCCGAGACGGAGTTAACTCCTGAGGCCTTCAGCTTCACCCGAAATAACAAGGATTTCTGGGGGTGGGAAAGAGGAGAAGCGGTGGGTGTATGTGTGTTGTGGGAAGGCTCCTGGGAAGTCTTCCACAGCGCCAGCAAGGCAGAGGACATACATACACTCTTTCCTTCACCACATAGAGCCACCATGTRAAGTAGCACCTTTGGTCCCGGTTGGCATCTGCGGCCTCTGTTATAGCATTCACAACGTTACCTGAGTTCTTGTGTTGCTTTTATATTCAAAGGCACAGGGATTGCAAAGAGCAATTAAAGTCTGCGATAAACGTGTAGAAATGTTTCATATTGAACAAGATCAGTTTCTTAAGACTCTCCTGCAATCCAGCACCAATTACCCCAGATGCTTCCCAATGTCCTCTTAACAGCCAAGTCAACCAGATGGCTTTCAATTCACACAATTGTTAGAATACTTTTATTTTTTAAGCAAAACAATTTACCCCCCCCCCCACACACACACCCGTTTGCTAGTGAAAACATAAATAAAGTGCACTTAGGAAAAAATGGTTATAACTAATCGTGGTCTTTGAATGCCCTTTGAGTCTGCGTTGGGGATTTAGGGATGATTTTTTTTTAAAAAAGCAAAACCATAAACAGACAATATGGGTAATATGAGTATATATAGGTTTGAATATACAYCCACACATTTTTCCCCCAAATTTAGTTTTAGATTCTTTCACCTGGTTTGCCGGTTGGCAGTCACCTCTGTAGGTGCCAGGGGCTCCCAGGATTCGAGGAGCGGCCCGTATTGAATGCCCCATTCCCGCCTCCCTGGGGGAGACTCCTCCAGAGCCTTTCCCTCCCCGCGTGGCCAGGCCGCCCGCGCAGGGATCCCAGTTCGGTGCCTCTCCACGGCTCCCAGGCCCCATCGCAGCCGCCAGCGTTCCTTCCTCTTCCTGGGCCACAATCTTGGCGTTCCGGGATTGGCTTTACCCCGTACCAGCAGGAACACGTCCGGGAAGATCTCTTGAGGGGACCTCGAGCACCACATGCGACCCTCAAAGCCCAAATCTCCTTTCCCGCCTCACTGGGCCACGGCGCCAGGAGCCAGGCAGGCGAAGCGCAGCCTCTGGTGCTCTAAGGCCCCAAATGACCGATGGCTCGCCGTCAGCGAGGACTAGGAGGCCCCCCGGGTCAAACCTGGGGCCACTCCGCCGCTCCTCGGCTGCTGTCTGGGAGGAAGTGTAGGTGTGTGAGCCGGGGAAAGGGAGCGAGCCGCGCCCTCGGGCCGGCGTGGGCAGGGCGCCGCGGCCTGCGCAGCCCCGAGGGCCCCGCGTCGCTCTCCCGAGCCAAGGTTCTCAGGAGCGGGCCGCGCAAAAGACGTTAGCGGGAGGAGTTAGCGGCTGTTGGGGGAACGGGTTGAGGGAAACAGTCCCTTCCAAAGCACGGCAATCGCGGGGTGGGGCGCCGTGCTGCCTCCCAGGCCGGGGGCGCTGGCCAGAAGGGGCGCGCGTGGCGACGGTGACCGCCTGCTGCGGCACGCCCGGGCAGGGCTGCGCAGGAAGAGCCAGGGGGCGGTCGCCCGTTGGCCCCGCTGGGGCTGAACGCCCAGGGGTCGCGGCGCGTCGGCCTGCAGCGCGTCAGGTGAGGAGGTCGCCATGGCGATGTGGCCCCAGGCGCGCAGGCCCGCTGCGGTTGGCATGGAAGCAGCCCCTGCGAGGCCCGGGGACGCCGCTGATTGGCCGATTCAACAGACGCGGGTGGGTTGAAAGTAATCTGCGCTGTGCGCCCCGCCGCCGCCGCAGGGAGCCCGGCGCCCCCGCTGGAATCTATTAACACCTCGGACCCTCCCTCCCGCCCGCCCCGCCCCCCTCAGGCGGCACCTCAGCCCCATCACGGTGTGCACTTGCTGCTTGTTGGAGATAAAGATAAAGATAAAGATAAAGCTCCGGGAGGAGCGGAGGTCCCGCTCTGGCTCCCAAGCAGGTTTTGACGTCTTCTGCTGGTAGGAGGAAGGCCGCGGGGCAGCACCTTGCTTGTCACTTGGGAAGGGTACATAACTTTCCGGCAGACGGGTATTCCTGGATCTTTTGTTTGGGGTCAGGGGAGATGAGCTTCGCGGCAGAGGAAGACTGAGGCTCTTGGGTGTAAACTCCCAATTTACATGGGGCTTAGTATCCTGACGTGGAGGTTTGGCAGGATGTCTCGTTCCTACCAGCCCTCGGGTAGGTCTTGGATGAAATCCCGCAGAGATTCAAATCACTGTTTTGGTTCAGGGCAGCTTTGATCCCTAGTGCTGTCGCTCCTGGACCTTTCAAACAGTAATAATTTGTTGGGAAGATCAGCAATTAATGGGGATTCCAAGACTTGGTGCTCTGCCTCCTAGAGATTCACTGAATCCTTGGAGCCCTAGCTAGGGAGGGTTGACTAACAGGCTTCTCTGTTTCTCCTGGTGACAGCAGTTTGTGGCGTCCAAGGCAATGCGTCGCAGCAGCTCCAAGAGTGGAGTCGTCCTGGCTGCAGTGGCTAGAGGTCCTGAAGCTTCTCAGATGCTCACCAGAGCCCAGCTTGGCCAAGATCCCCCACAAAGGACAGTGCTAGGGGTGCTAACCGAGAATGGGCAGTACAGGAAGACCTGTGGCCAGGTAATGACCAGAAGCACTGGGAAAGATGCTGTGGAGAATGACTCTTCTATGATGGTAGTAGGTGCTTTTCTCTTGCAGTTGTACCTACTACTGTCCTAGAATATTAACAGCCTTGGATCTGGACTACAAGGAAGTTGATTTCTTAAGACCATCTTAACCAGTTCTGTTTTCAGCCAGAAACAGTGATTATTACTTTTGTTATTTTTCCAACATTAAGGAAATAAGTTTGGGAACTGTTTGTATTAAATATATGTAAAGTGATTCAGGAGATAGGCTGAAACGAAATGTGATTTGGAGCTGGAATTCCTTGGTCAGAGTTGTGTTCAAGGTAGTGCCTAAAGCAATACTGGGCAACCTTTGCTGTGTTCATTTGGGATAATGTGAGAATTGGGATTGGATCAAGCTACTTCAGATTATACTAGGTTACTTCAAAAAGGTTGCTTTGAGAGCAGATATCTTCCTGCTGACAAAGAGCAGTTGGGCAAAAAGATAATGGACCCTCAGATATTATTTGTATGTGCTAAACTTATCACAGTTACCTTCCTTTGAAGATTAAAAATAAATCCAGACACTTAAATGAGAAGGCAGGGTTTGGATCCTTAGGAATGAATTATTTAGATAGAAAAAAAATCTTCCCTCTCTGCTATTAGATTAGTCTTCATAAAAATGCCTTAAACCTGTATTGTACATCTAAGTGCTTGATGGTCACAATAGTCCAGTGAAGTAAGGTATTCTTTCTGTTTTATAGATGAAAAAGTGTGAGGTTTAATATCCCCAAAAATGTTGTGGTGGAGGCTAGATTAAAAGCTTTCTATCTGTTGCATCTTTAAATTACCTATCTTTTGATGGTTTGGTTAGTGTGGAAAAAATATTCAAAGTAATCTGTTCAAATCTTTGGAGAAAATTGAGTGAAAGTGGTTTTAATAAACTTAATTTTCTTAGCAATATTTATTTTTTACAGTCTTAAGACCTGGTGCTTGTGAATTGGCAGTTGTGCCTATGCTAAGTGGTCTCATTTTAAATTCAAAATCAGTAATCTCTCACATTACCTGGTCCCACCTCTACATTTCCTTGCTCCATCCTCTACAACCTTCTTAGAAACCTATTCCCTATCCCCTTTCTCTCTTTAATCCTCCATAACCCCTATTCATCTTTACTCTCAGGTGATGACTTTATATCCTATTTTCCTGAAAATGTAGAAACAACCATTGTTTCCATGTGCCAGATACCTTGCCATTGCTATCCTGTTCTGTAAGTAAAATGTCCCTTTTAGATAAGGTGACCTTTCCCTCAAAATGTGTTCTTTTGCTTCTTCAAGGATCTCACTCCAGTAACTTTTATTCTTTTATCAGTTTTCTCTTTTTTACTGAGTCAAACCCATAAGCATATAAATAAATTATATTTTTTCATCAAAATCTTTCAACTACACATCTCTTTGCAGCTACCGTCCTGTTTATTGCAAGATTTATTGAGAATTTGTCTATCCTAATAGCACATAAGTTCTATCAGAGAGGATGTCATGTTCTCTGCTGTATTCCTAGTACTTGGAACAGTACATATGCCCGAATATCATATAGGTTTTTATTGAATGAATTCTGTCTATAGTTCTTTTGACTCAATTCTTAATTCTTTCCTTACTTGACTGATCAGTAGCATTTTACATGGTTGACCAGTCTTAATAATTTATTAATAATTTCTTCTTACTCGAGAGCACTACCCTCTCCAAGGGATCTACCTTGCTCATTTGCCACTCCCTCAGTATCCTGATTCTTTATTTCTTTAATCTCTAAAAGTCACAGTGCCCCAGGGCTTAGCTTTGGTCACAGTCTGGCCTCACTCCCTCAGTAATCTCTTCGGGTGTTAAATTAAATACCATTAAAAACCATCTGTCTGTTGATGATTCATATTTTTATCTCTGGCCTACCCCCCTGAGCTATATTGTAGGATCATATACCCAGCATTCCACTTAATATCTTCACTTGAATCATGTGATAAGCATCTCATACTTGGGCAAAACCAAACACCAACCCTTTTCCCTACCTCCGACTTGCTCTTCCCAAAGTCTTGCTCATCTCAGGAAAAGAAATAGCCATTCTTCCTTTGACCAACCCTAAAACATTTTTTCATCCTTGACCCTTCTTTTTCTCCTACCTTCCATTTAATCTACTTTGAAAGTATTGTTGGTTCTACTTTAAAAAAAATGTCTAGAGCCTCTTTCCCTCTCATCCTTTTCTATCCTGCTTTAAACCTCTGTTGTGTCTCATCTGATTTGTCAGTTTTATAACTGGTTCTGTTATTGTGGTCTTGCTTCCTGCACTTAAAATGATCCTTTTATAAAGATAAGTCAGGCCAGGCATGGTGGCGCACACCTGAAATCTCAGAGGCTTGGGAGGCTGAGGCAGGAGGATTGTGAGTTCAAAACCAGTCTCAGCAACTTAGGCACCAAGCAACTCAGCAAGACCCTATCTCTAAATAAAATGTGAAAAAAGGGATGGGGATGTGGCTCAGCGGTTAAGTGCTCCTGGGTTCAATCCCTGGTAACCACCCCTCCCCCCCACCAAAAACAAACAAACATAAGTTAGATCACAGTCTTCCTCTGCCCAAAATCTTTCTGTGGCTCCCCTCTGCATGAATGCCAATCATTCTTAAATGGCCTATGGTAAGGCCTCCTTGAGCTGACCTCTATTTTCTTCCTGACCTCATGTCCTACACTCTTCTCCTTCTTACTCTGCTCTGTCTATTCCTACTTTATCTTTTGTTGTTTGTCTCCCCACCTCCGCCTCTGGGCTGAACATTTTGTTCACTCTTGAATTTTGGGCACCTAGAGCAGTGTCTGGAGCATAGTAGATTCTTAGTAAATATTTGTTTAATGAATATATACCCCAACCTAAATATCTCTATTTATGTAGGAAAGTTAAACTTGATAGTGACTTGGAGTCATAGTTATCTGATTATCGTAACTTCTGATTGTGGTCCTTTATAGTCCCTGTGATTTTTATTCCAAAACTACCATAAAGATAAGATTATTTTCTTATTAGTCATAAGCCATATATATATATAAGTAGAAAGAAAAGTTATATAACCACATACTAACTTGGAATTAGCCTTTAATAGCATAGATTAAGTATAAGCAAAATGTTAATATAGTAGATAGAGCTAACATTTGCATAAATATAACTCAGGCTCACTTGCCCTAACTCATATGATTTCACACCATCTAACATGACTTCCTTTAAGATGCAACAGCATTTGATGTGCTATGCTTGTTCACTGTGGTGGTACCACAGTTGTTTGCACTGTTAATGTTACAAGAATAAAGAAAAGGGAGAAGTTATTTGAAAAATTTCACCAAGCATGATTGTATTATATATACAAAAAGGTTTTATAGCTTATGAGAGAAGTTAGTAGTATGAGTTTCCAAAATCATCATGTTTCTAAATAACTTAAGAATGAAACTGGGGGGCTGGGGATGTGGCTCAAGAGGTAGCGCGCTCGCCTGGCATGCGTGCGGCCCGGGTTCAATCCTCAGCACCACGTACAAAGATGTTGTGTCTGCCGAAAACTAAAAAATAAATATTAAAAACTTCTCTCTCTCTAAAAAAAAAAAAAAAGATTGAAACTGGGAACTTCATAGGTGGCTGCAACTAAATATTAAATATTTCGGGAGGGGGCTCTAGGAACTCTGTAACCATATGTTATGAACGATGCTGAGTATTTTAATGTCTTGTGATGCTGTAAACATAAAGCCAACTTGCAGTTTTCCTCCTGCAGGTTGTACCTATTTCATTTTGGAGAAGAGATATAGATTTTATTCTTTCTATAATCTTGAGTTCCCTTTGATACATATGTAAAGAAAATAGCAAATTTTAGATAGCTCTTTCTGTATATCAGATATAGACTAATATAACTTTTTGAACTTTATTTTCTGTAATTAAATTAATAACATTTCAATTTAGGATTCAATCTTACCTATTCAAGCTGCTAGGTTCACATTTCCTAGTTGATCTTTGTGGGATAGTCTCTAACAAGAAATTAACTCTTTAGGAGATCACAGCAATCAGGTGTTTTTCTGGATCAGAAAATGTCTTCCCTCCAGCTGGAAAGAAAATGCTCTCTGATTGTGGGGTCCTGGAGCCAGCCAAGCATGGATTTGATATCTACATGGACGAGCCTGAGCAGGGGGACAGAGACAGCTGCTCAGGAAGAGAGGGGATGGCATTTGAGGATGTGTATGAAGTAGATACCAGCACACTCAAGTCAGACCTTCACTTCCTGCTGGATTTTAATACAGGTAATCTGACTCATCTATAGCTAATGGTGCTCTGTATTCTCAACTGTCTGCAGTGTTCCAGTAGCAAGTATCTAGCAAGAGAAAAACATGACATAATGGCTAGTTTTCACAACTGCCTGTGGAGGGTGAGTAGAGGTAAGGAGTTTTTCAATTAAATGACTTATCTGACAATGTTGAACCTCTGCAGTTTCCCCTATGCTGGTAGATTCATCTCTCCATTTCCAGTCTGAAGAAGCGTCAGATTTGGGCACAGATGTGATAAATGTGACTGAATATGCTGAAGAAATTCATCAGTACCTTAGAGAAGCTGAAGTGAGTTTTCCCAACCTCTCCAGGATCCCAAACTCCTAATATTAAGCTACAAGTTCTTGACCATACCACTAGTGAATGGCACTATCGTGGTATCCAAATGTAAGAAATCTATGAAAAATAATGCAGGTCAAATATCTCTAGTCTGACATTTCAAAATTTAAAACTTTTTGAATGTTAATATGATGCCAGATGTGGAAAACTCCACACCATGAATCTTTGTTTTATGCACAAAATTATTAAAAGTATTATATAAAATTATCCTTGTCTGTGTGTATAAGTCATGAATTTTATGTTTAGGCTTGGGTCCCACCCCCAAGATGGCTAATAGTGTATATGTAAATATTAGAAAAAATCCCAAATCCAAGACATCATGTCCCAAGCATTATGGAAAAGGAATACTCAACCTGTAATAGTGATGGTAAGTAGCAATTGTAGGCACAATTTCTATACGACTCAAAGGATTTATGTATTAAGTATTTCACTCTTAGGAATAACCAATATTGCTATTTCCTCCTCAAGTTGTTAACTCATTACATTGTAGAACCATAATTTCATAGTTTCTTCTTTATCATGATGAAAACATTTGTCTCTAAATTAGCATCCTCCTAACCTTTGCTCATGAGATTTTAAAATAAAATAGCAACTATACTGGAGAGTGATCTTTCTGATATTACAACTTTCTACATATCCAAATTATTTTCCCAAACAGATAAGATACAGACCCAAAGCACACTACATGAGGAAACAGCCAGACATCACAGAAAGCATGCGTACGATTCTGGTGGATTGGCTGGTGGAGGTTGGCGAAGAATATAAGCTTCGATCAGAAACTCTGTACCTGGCTGTCAACTTCCTGGACAGGTTTCTTTCCTGCATGTCTGTTCTAAGAGGGAAATTGCAGCTTGTAGGGACAGCAGCTATTTTTCTGGCTTCGTAAGTAATTCTTTGAGCTTGAATAATGTAAAATTACCTCCTGTCAAAACACTTGACTTTTTTTTTCACATTTATTAAAGAAATGCAATGCTTGATGATTAGAACTATTTGTGTCTCTTTTGATAAAAGATCATTATCTTTTCAGGATTTACCAAGAAACTGAATTTCACCCACATGTTCACTCTTCAATTCAGATGTTTAAGATTTATTACAACAAGTTCAATGTCGTGACTAAAGGAGCCATCAGCTCAAATGCAGGAATTTATTTTGCAGAACAGTCTTTTGGCTATATTCTAATACAAGTAAAAGTCCTATTTAAAGAGATTTTTATTTCATAAAAACTGTCTTCATGATATAGCAAATAACTCACAATAATAGTTTATTTATTTGGTTATAGTTTATAAATAATTTTAGTTGGTTCCTGTTCCTATCAGCGACTCATAGTAATACCTCATTGTGTGAGAAAAAAGAGTTGGGTTATATCTGAGCTGTCATGATGTAACCTGTTACTGCATGATGGTTTCTATTTTTCTGGTTTTAAATAGTCTAGTTATTAATATGTAAACACTTGCCAATTTTTCCTAAAGAAAGTAGAAACAAAAGCAGAAGGGAAGAAATGAAAATAGTGAAACATCATTCTCCTTCTCTTGACTATTCAGCATCAATTGCTAATTCAGCAAACAAAGTTAAACATGATGTTTTTAAAAATCAAAGGTCTATGAATTTTTTTCTCTCTTTTCCACGAAATAATTTGAAGTCTATAGAATTGATAGGAATTCACTTGTGCTGTCTGTCATTCAGAATTTTTCAGTGTATCTGAGACCAAAACCTAAACTCTCAGTTGGACATGGTGTCTCTTTCTACTCCTAGCAGTAAGTACAACATGTTCTCATAATACTCATGTTCATGATCTGGAAACAAGCTCTTAATATTTTCATAGCCCTGTGAAATTCAGTGATATTGAAGTGGATAAAGAGGGAATAAAGAACTCTGCAGGTCTCTGTTGAAAAACATGGCCTGTGGTAACACAGGAAGTAAAGTATGAGTGCCAAACTACTCCTAAAAATTCTCTACCTTTCCCAGGAAATATGAAGAGATATATCCACCTGAAGTAGATGAGTTTGTCTATATAACTGATGACACATACACAAAACGGCAACTATTAAGGATGGAACACCTGCTCCTGAAAGTCCTAGCTTTTGATCTGACAGTTCCAACCACCAACCAATTTCTCCTTCAGTACTTAAGGCGTCAAGGAGTGTGTGTCAGAACTGAGAACCTGGCCAAGGTATACCATGTGATTTCCAGGAACTTCTGGTACCAAAGAGGGTAAAAAGCAGCCTTTCCCAGTCATCCTTCAGTTCTACATTCCTTTGCAGTTTTTTTTCCCCTAGTCTTGGGCCCAGTACACCTTTTTAGCAATGAAAGACAGCTAATTTTAAGAACACAAAATCTGGTTACAGGACATTACTATTGACTACAGTTGGCAGGCACAGGTTGTCAAATCATTCAACCATCAAAGGAATTTAAACTTGGAAACTCTTCCCTTGGTGTGTATATAGAGTCACATGCAAGCAGCACTTCTTAGTTTGAGAACTAAGATGTAGTTTAATTTTGTTCTAATATCATCCTAACCTATTAACTAATGAAGTGTTGTTTGGTTATTTAATGTTATAGAAACTTAGTTGAAAGTACTAAAGTATTAGTCTAATCAACTTGCTTTCTAGTCACTCCAGACTATGATATCTAGTACATTTATGCCATACAGGGAGTAATAAGGATGTCCATATACATTTCTTAAGTATATTTATTCTGACATGATATGTTCCCATCAGTACTGTTCTAGACTCAGAACCATATTCATTTGCCTAGCAAATTAATAGCTATAATATTGTCATATCTTTGCCTTTGACTGAAGGCTCTGTTCCCATTCCAGGTGCCAGAGCAATACAACTTTATCTGACCAGCATAAACCTGCACTACTAGTGTAAGACGAGAAAAGTAACCTATCATATGTACTTTGTGGATAGGCCAAATACTAGGGTATTGAAATTCTGTTAAAACATAAATATTATTCTGGTTAAAGACAGTCATACCAATTATTGACCCAGTGATTCATTTTAACTATGTCTGTACTCATCACTGGATACTGTCTGAACAAAGAGAAGACACAATTTATTACTATGACTTTTCTAGGTTTACTTATGACTTCAGTCAATTAGATCTTGTCAAATTTCTAACTCCAATGAGGTTTTTTTTCTCTTGTGCATAGTATGTAGCAGAACTGAGTCTACTTGAAGCTGATCCATTCTTGAAATATCTTCCTTCATTGATAGCTGCTGCAGCTTACTGCCTGGCAAACTATATTGTGAACAGGCACTTCTGGGTAAGTTTATTCTTCTTTCTAGATGAAATTCAAGACCTGTGTAAAATCTGTTCAGTAGTTTTTAAGGCTTACAGGCTTGCCTCTTAGAAGGGCAAGTTTGTTTAATAAGGAACTGGATGTCTTTACAGTAGACTGCAACTTGCTGCTGAATCTTGCAGGTCAGCCAGTCATCATGGCTTTGACTCAGTGGCTTTATTCTGTGTCCAGCAGAGGTTGCAAGAAGTTTAGACAATCATGTTGCAGGCCCATTCAACAGAAGCGAGCCTGAAAATCTGGGTGCCCATTGCTAATGACTTGAGATGCAGTCATTGGCTGCTTCAAGCAAAAGTTGTTGACTTTTATCATACGTGGAAAAAAAAATCATCAGTCCAATGAGGATAGCTAGAAATTGCAGTAGGCTTTTGAGAAAACAGGACATTGGTGTTGCCTCTTTCCTGAGGAGGTGGTATCATCAAAAACAGGTCCCTAGGTTTTGTTCTGAAAGCTCACTGTTATACTAAAAAAAAAAATGGGATATTTCCCTTTATTTTCTGGAATACTTAGTTTTTATGCTGCATTTAGACTAAGAAGCTTTCACTTTCTATACGAATAAGGTGGTCACAAAAGTAGGACCCTTTAAGGGACTGGTAAAAACCACGTTCATGAGGGTACAGGGAAAGTGATCTGCCCTAAATTGAGAATTATGATATGAAATATGAGCAAACTTAGAAATTTAGAACTCTGCTGTATTTTAAGTATTTCATATCTAATGTCTCTGAAGAAGGTGGACTTGCTTTCTTTAAATGAATATGGACATTTACTTTTACTTTACAATTGGTTGTCTTCTGACTTCTACATCTTAAAAAGTTATGTGAAACAATTTTTTTTCTTTTGTCTTGATTAGCCAGAAACCCTTGCTGCATTTACAGGCTACTCATTAAGTGAAATTGTGCCTTGCCTGAGTGAGCTACACAAAGCATGCCTTGACATACCCCATCGACCTCAGCAAGCAATTAGGGAGAAGTATAAGGCTTCAAAGTAAGTTACTGACATTTTCTTATCTTGGCTCTGTTCAAAGCTTAATGGGTAATAGTTGTATCAGAATTAGAAGTGGAATAAATTATATATCTGGTGTTAGGTTGGTAAAGTAAGAATACATATAAAATCAAGAAAATGAATTTGGAGAGACCTAGATTGATAATTATCAGATTGTAGTAATTATAGTCACTCAGCTTCCTTCCTATCTGCTGTGATGACTTAGAGAGTTTTCTGTAGTGCCAGGGTCCTGCATCAGCAGGGTCCAGGGGGTCCTAAAGGATGAGAGGCATCAGCACAAGGGATGAGACAAGGAGTCGTTCCATTGGAGCAATCTCCAGAGAGAGAGAGAGAGAGAGAGAGAGAGGGAGAGAGAGAGCTGTTACTGCTTTCTCTCTGGCTCCTTTTATTCTATTTTTTCTCATCATTATGGGTCCAGAATCATTAATAAAATGCGTCATCAATTTACCATTTCCAGATTTTCCCAGAATGTGACATTTCCTTATTTAACAGATGCCAAACTACGTAACCAGACTCTATGTCTCCTAACCTGTCATTAACCTTTAAGTATAAAGCACACCTGTACTTTAAGATCCCATCTAAAAGTCCCCTTATAACAATCTTATAATATATTCTAAAAGTATCTAAAAATGCCTACATTTATTCTCATAAAACTGATTAAGCTACTTTCTCAGAGAGTTTCTTTGTTTCTTAGTTAAAGTACAGCAGTTCTTAAATCTTTGTAATCTTTAACTAAAGGGCAGGCTCTGTATGTCAATCCCCCTGCAGCTAACATTAACTATGCTTATCAAAATCCCTATGTAAAGTTAAAAGAGGGTCTATTAGAAGGAAAATATATTTTAACTAACTTTTTCTCCCCTGGATGAATACCATATCCTACCCTTAATTAAATAGGCTACATATGGTGGGCTACGTGCAATGGACATGATAACTGTCTACGCAGGTTTGAAAGACTGAAGATATGAACTTGGATTCTTAGTTGATATAATCAATCGTGGTGCCTAGTGTTCCTGTAACATTTCCTAGAATGACTGTTGATATTTTTCTGTTTTGTCCTATATGTCCCGAGAGATAGTAAAGCAGCCTTTAAGTCATGAACCACCTGTTATATTCTTGGCCATCTAGAATTTAAAGTCTACTCATGCCTTTTGTTAGGCTGACTATAAAATAAAAAGTCCCAATTATATAAAAAAGGGTCTCATGATTTTGGTTTCCCACAAGTGTCCTCACTGTGACCTTGTCAAGACAGTGGGAGGTGGAATGCCTTCACCACTGTAGCCTAACTGAGATTATATAAAATGAATGTCTGTGTTTTGTGCTAACCTTGCTGTGGGTTTCATTTCAGGTACCTGCATGTGTCCCTCATGGAACCACCTGCAGTTCTTCCTCTGCAATAAGTGCTAGAACTGGAGCATTTCCAGAACCCAACCACCATATCAACAGGATTGCTCTTAGTTTCCATAAGTTTCTTCAAGTTTGGCCAACTAATGTCAATATAGATGACTTTTCAAATATGTAAATGTATTAGGTTCTATTAGACTTTAGTAGTTATAATTTAGTCTAGAATTGTTGAAGAATAAACTACTTGCTTTATGACCATGTGTTAGGCTTATTACTAGTTAGCATGGCTGACAGACTTGACTGGAATTTTAGTTGATAATATTACAAATGTCATCACTATTTCAAGCATTCTCCTAAATTGGTTTTATAAATGAGGCATGCTATTCAGATTCAGTGTTGAGGCATGCAGGGATTTTCATGCTTGGTAAATGGCTTGTTGTTTCCTATTTCTTTACTCTCCCCAAGGATCTCTGTAGATTGACAAAGAAGGGAAAGGCTAGCTCAGGCAAAATGGTGAAGAGACACCAGCAAGCACTTCTACTCCTGCTTCTTCCATAGTTTAAATCAGTGGGCTGAGGCCTAAATGTGTTCAAATATATTTGGTGGTGACTTACATTTCATTCTAATCCAGGAATGTTATGCTCATTTGTAAAAGGATGCCATCATGTCTGTATTCAGGTTGGATTTAGGAACTCATCATCATGTTTTTTTAGTTTTAGAAGATGTCTTCTGGGGTAGAAAGAGCAAACTTCATCATGAGACTTGAGACTAATGAATCCAACCCCTTTACATATGTCCTTTGAGAGATACCCACCCTAAGCTTTGCTGTTGCTTAAATTATTCATAATTCTGTATTTTACTTTCTTACACATTCATATTTGGCACTTTTCAACAGCACTGTGTAGGATACAAGATAGAAAAAATTGAAAGCAAAACATTTGTTTTGACTTTTATTTTAAAGATTGAAAGGAAAAATGAGAGTAGATTTGTTCTTAAATATGAATTATGATTATTGAGGATTAAATGTGAGCTTTGTGTTTGTGTTGTTGTTAAGCACAAAATTGGTGGTTCTGGGCCAGTAGGTCTTAATGGCTCATGAACCTTCTGTGCTGTGTGCTTGTCCTCTGGGGAGAGGCCTCTGTTTGTGGACCTGCCCCCAGGCTCAGTCTGAATGACTCTGGAGGCAAAAAGAAGGAAATATGTTTTCTGGATTCCCTTCACATAGGAAAAATTAGATTTGGGTATATTTTGGAAAAATGAGAGTAGATGAAATTCACTTCATGTTTTACACTTTTTTCAAGCTCTAATGGAATTATGAATATAAAAATATAGACATATTTTACATATTTTGTGAATAATTTTTTTATATTTGAAAGTACTCCCACACTCTTACAAGGTTTTAGCATTGCTCCCTCCTTTTCCCCTGCAGATAAACATTCTCAAGTTGTCTCCATTTGAAGAAATCAACATTTTCTTAAGTATTTTTATATTTATAACATATGTTTCATAAGGGAACATAGGTCCTATATCAATATTGAATTCTCTATGTTTGTTATATAATGAACAATTGGCAATGTCACCTGGTTTATGTCTGAGTGACATAATCTGTATATATATGCTGAACTTTCCAGCAGTCCTGCAAATGGCAGTGCAATCCCTTCTCAGTGGGGCAGGTGGCTGATTTTGGTCACAGAAGTGCTGTATTTGCCCCTTTCAAGCCTTAAAGATTTGAGCAACTCAGCCAGGGAAGCTTCCTGTCAATCTCTATCTGTTTATGTTGGCTGATCACTTACTTTCCTATGATATGTGTGTCTATCTCAGGCTGGATCCTGACACAATAACAATAACATTTGGACCCAGTTTAGAACCAGACACAGTAATATTTTCTTTTTTTTTTTTTACTAGTAAGATTATGATTTTAGAATGCTTTACTTATGCTAGAAGGGACTTTGTAGAAATAGATCATCCATTAAAAATCACTTTGCAGAGGATGTTTTTGTTTCCAAATCTGGATCCAAAATATACCATGAAACCACACTATAGGACTTAGAAGTCTGCACACATACCTTACGTTACTTGCTATTGGCAATTTGCACATACCTTATTCCCACACCCCCAACACAAATAATACCCACTGACTGCAAAGAACTAGACCTCAGCTTTGAACCTTCTTTTTTATTATTTTATTGCCTCCCTGAAATACATTATTTGAAAACAGAAATATAACTTTCCCCTGTGTATCTCCTGCCAAATTTGAAAGTGAATATCAGCCATCTGCATGCCCATCCTTTGATTTGTTCTTCTTTCCTAAATTTTGTGTTGATGAAGTCCATTCACTGTTTTTATGAATATATGTCTATAAACAATGCTTATTTTTAATGTTTAATGGTCATTGATAGTCTCTTGTACCCTTCTGTGTTACATATCTGAAGTAGCATTGTTTTTTGAGATTATCCATAGGGAATCAGTAGAATCTTAGTTACTTCTACTATTATAAAATATCATAAGAATATGGTTTATCTGTTCTCTTAATTTTCGCCCATCTCTCCCTTTCAAGCCACACCCACTTCTTGCCACCCAGGAAACTGGTCTGGGCAGGGCTCTGGGTTGGGAGTACTGTATCTGTCTATCTTTGGATGCTCTTTTGCATGTGGCTTTAGACAAACCCAGCCCTTTCTGAGGAACTCAGACATGACCATGAACCAATGGGCTCTTAGTGTTCCTCAAGAAAAGATGATAGGGGCAGCATTTGATGACCCTTTGTTGAGAGCTAAAGCCCAAGATGGGATGGATATAAGCAATGTGTTCTGTTTCTGTTTTCCCTATAATCTTTCACCATCAGAGTTAAAACAGCTACATACATTTTAGTCTAAAACTTTGAAATGGAAGTATATACTATTTGTTTGAGAGAGCCCTGGCCCATGCTAATGCCAAGTTTTCTGCTCCATGTGTCAGGGCTGTGGGGATAGGTACCTGGGGCAGGGGAGGAACTCCTCAGGGTGCACGGTTGTGATTCCATGTAGCATCCTGGCACCAAGGCAAGACCCAGTGTGCAAGACCCAAAGTCTCTGATGGTTTTTCACTGCAGATGAGACATCCCTCCCTTTAGTTTCACAGGATATGTATGAATTCATTGTAGGCAGAGAGTTGTTTGTTTTTACTATGTTTTTTATTAGGCATCACTGGACTTGATGGTAATTTTTGAAAAAAAAGAATGGGAAGTACTCAGGCAAAGGGAAAAGCATGTGGGAAGGGGATCAGGTTATCATTAACTGAATCATAACTGAGTATGTGGATAGAATGCCTCAAATGGAACTAGAGATCTGAGATCAGATAAATGTCTGAGGTGCTAGGGGAGGAACTGAGGTCAACTTGGGCTCATCTGACTAAACTCAAACCTGCTAGAAAAGACTCTCTCCTTTGATCTGCAAAGAGAACATAGAGAATAACATCCATATACCACCATGTGGAGCTGAGTACCTCAATTGTCATGAGTATTGGTTTCAAATGTGTCATCAAGAATATGGTTTCTTCAGTCACCTTGGTGATTCTCAGAAGCTCGTTCTTTTAGGAGAATTATAACTGAGAAGTAAATACAGTGGGAGACCAATTCTACCTTTATCTTTTTATTCAGGACTTAATTCTTAATTTTATTCTAAACAGGAGACCAGGATCCTGTTTTCAACTTGGCTATCAATTGTGTAACACTGGTTGTATTCAGGTAATCTGTTGTGTCAGCCATCTCCAAATCTCTGAGGCTCACTTTGTTGAAGACTTCTCAGTTCACCCTCCAGTCACCCTCCAGTGCATGTTGACGTTTGGGAGTTTTTGTTTCTACGTGTCCATCCTTCTGCAGGAATCCCCTGCTTGATTCTTAAACGTGGTAGAAGATGCATGAGAATGTGGAGAAGTCACACCCATCCTTACTTCAAGGAACTGGGAAATGAAACTCGGCTCTAAGCTCTGGGAGGAAAGGTGATTTCAGTGTTGATAAAGGATTTATCTTTGCCACTGTGGGCATCTCATTCATTGTTCTGAACTTTAATCTCACTGTGAATGATGAGTTTGATTGAATTGATATCTGTTGACTTTTAGGAAATTAAATAATTTTTGCTATTTCTAGCATATCTGGACAACACCTTTGAAATGACTTACTTTGGAACTTCACCCTTTTTAAACAGTAACATTTCTGAAATAATGAGTGCATTACAAATGTTCTAACATCCATTAGAATACATAACTACTGAATGTAGGTCACTTAAAACTCTGTATATCAACCCATGGAATTCAGTAATCTGACATTCTGTGGAAAAAAATTTTAATGGTTAAAAAAAGGAAGTGCAAATATGAATTCACTTTATTACATATCTTAAACTTGAGGGTGCTTGGGCAAGATGTTTGAAAGTTGGTCACCATCTGCATTCTCCCCTGAGAATGTCATATCTTAGGATGATTAAGGACAACAGAAAGGGGTCACATTAAAGTAACGGGATAGCATTTCATTTCAGCCTTATTCCCCCTTTCCCTCCCTCGCCCTCAAACACTAGAAGCTAAAGTGGGGGAAGTGGCAAGATTGGCATGTCTGAGATGGACAATTTGATGTGGCAGTTTTGACATTTAGAGCAAGAGCAGGGCTGGGGAAAGTGCTTAAACTTGAGATGATATGTCAAACCAGAATTTCTCTTAGAAACAAAGAATAACAGGGTTACTTTCCTGATGCCTGAATCCATCTCTGTCCTCACACTCCTCCTGTCACAGCCCTAGCAGAGCCCCCTGTCATTCTCATCTGCATGAATCATAGGAATAAACTCTCCTGGATCTTTAGTTTCCTCTTCCCTTTTTCTAGAGTTCCTGCAATGAAATTGAGTATCACTTTCCTGAGTTGAATTCTTCCATCTCTTATTACCATTGGGACAAAATATGGGGCACATAGGCCCTTCAATATTCAGGCCTACCCACCCCAACAGATTCTGCTTGAGTTAACCCATTGTTCCCTTCCAGAGACTTCTTGATCTGAAAACAGTTCCCTCATCCCTAAATCTATACCACTCTGCTACTGATTCATCAGAATGAATCGTTTATTTGGCTCTCTGTCAGCCTCAGGTAAGTGTCCTTGTGGACAACTGGCTGACCCTTGCCTATGTTCTCCTCCTGGATTTTATTTCATCCTTTGCCCTCAACGTCTGACTTTATGCTAGGTATTCAGTAATGTTTTATTGAATAAATCAATTGACTATGGCTTTTTATAGACAATAA